AGCACACGGTGTTGCCTTGAAGACGGGGGCTGTTGACTACAGGGTGTTGTCTTGGAGACTGAAGCTGTTGAGTACAGAGTGGTGCGTGCTACGCGGACGGCGAACGGGCGGCGGGTGCCCTAGGTGGTGGGTCAGAGGCCTCATGGGTGTTGGTTTGGATCTCGTGGTTGGCCTGTCGGGAACGTCGTGAACGCAGTTTCGCATCTTCTCGGTGACCGTTTTGGGGCCGTAGTGGGGCCTCCTCGGGGCTGTTTTGTGGCCTTTTGAAGCCTCGTTTGGGCCTCCTGGGTGCCTCTCGGGGGCCTCCTGGGGCCTCTTGGGGGCTCCTTGGGGCCTCCTGGGGCACTCTTCAAGCGGGAGGGTCGAATTTTGGATTCGTGGTCCCCTCTTGGGCGCATCTTGGGGCCGTCTTGGGGCTCTCTTGGGCTGTCTTGGGCGCCTCTGGGGTCGTCTGGGGGCCCTCTTGGGCCGTCTTTGGGCGCTCTTGGGGGCCTATTGGGCCGTCTTGGAACGTCGGACAGCCGAAAAGGCTAAATCTCTCCAAAACCTTTGAAAAATTACCGATTTCGGCCACTTGAAGCGCTCTGGAGAGGCCGGAGCACTGGACCCAGGACCCCCAGAGGAGCCTCCGAAAGTCGAAGGGCGACAAGAACATCGGCGGGAGGCGAGCCGAGAAGTCGAAGGGGCGAGCGCGGTCCCGAGGGGCGACCGGGGCGGGGACGGCGTCGACGACGACGACGCCGACGACGGCGACACCGCCGACGACGGAGAATTCTCTCTGGGATCCGAGGGCCTCTGTCCTGGCCCGGGGCGGGATGTGCCACCGCAGGAGGGCCACGGCGCGCATGGCGTCCAGGAGGCCGTTTTCTTGGACCGGCGGCGGCGGCGGTCCGAATATCGGCTCGTCCGCACCGTCCGTTGTAAGGTTCCTCGGGGCTGTTTGGGAGCCTCGTGAAGCCTCGTTCGGGCCTCCTGGGTGCCTCTGGGGGGTCTCCTGGGGCCTCTTGTGGCCCCTTTGGGGCCTCCCGGGACCCTGTGGAGGCGGGAGGCTCGAATTTCCGGTTCGCGGTTCCCCTCTTGGAGCCCTTTTGGTGCCGTCTTGGGCCTCTCTTCGCCCGTCTTGGGCGCGTCTTGGGCCGTCTTGGGGCCCTCCAGAGCCGTCTTGAGGCCCTCTTGGAGGCCTCTTGGGCTGTCTTGGGGCTTGGGGCGTCCGCGGGGGGCCTGTGAGCCGTCGTGGAGCGTCGGAAAGCTGAAAAGGCGGGAAAGGCAAAATGTATCCAAAACCTGTTGTAAAATAAGCGATTTTGGCCTCTTGGGGCCCTCTGGGGGGGCGGCCTCTTGGAGGCCTCTTGGAGCGTCTTCGGGGCCTCTTTGGCCGTCTTGGGGTTATCTTGGGGGTCTCCTGGGGCCTCTTGGGGCCCGGCTCGAATTTCCGGTTCGCGGTTCTCCTCTTGGGGCCCTCTTGGGGCCGTCTTGGACATCTCTTCGCCCGTCTTGGGCGCGTCTTGGGCCGTCTTGACGCCCTCCAGAGCCGTCTTGAGGCCCTCTTGGAGGCCTCTTGGGCTGTCTTGGGGCGTCTGCGGGAGGCCTGTGAGCCGTCGTGGAGCGTCGAAGAGCTGAAAAGGCGGGAAAGGCAAAATGTGTCCAAAACCTGTGTAAAATTAACGATTTTGGCCTCTTGGGGCCCTCTGGGGGGGCCTCTTGGAAGCCTCTTGGAGCGTCTTGGGGGCCTCTTTGGCCGTCTTGGGCTTATCTTGGGGGTCTCCTGGGGCCTCTTGGCGCCCCTTTGGGGCCTCCCGGGGCCCTGTGAGGCGGGAGGCTCGAATTTCCAATTCGCGGTTCCCCTCTTGGAGCCCTCTTGGGGCCGTATTGGGCCTCTCTTCGCCCGTCTTGGGCACGTCTTGGGCCGTCTTGGGCCCCTCCAGAGCCGTCTTGAGGCCCTCTTGGAGGCCTCTTGGGCTGTCTTGGGGCGTCTGCGGGAGGCCTGTGAGCCGTGTGGAGCGTCGGAAAGCTGAAAAGGCGGGAAAGGCAAAATGTATCCAAAACCCTCGTAAATGTACGATTTTGGCCTCTTGGGGCCCTCTGGGGGGGCCTCTTGGAGGCCTCTTGGAGCGTCTTGGGAGCCTCTTTGGCCGTCTTGGGGTTATCTTGGGGCCCTCATGGCGCCCTCTTGGGCCGTCTGGGAGCCATCTTGGGCGTCTTGGATCGATCGAAGCGTCTCGAGGCACGCTTGGACCGTCTTCGGCGCCTCTTGGGCCGGACGAGGGCGCTCCCGGAGGCCCGATCCTCCCATGGGGGGTTGCGGTCCCCGCCAGGGAGCCCCTGGCCCTGTAGCCCGGTATATATATATATATATATATATATATGTATATATTCTCATACGCACCTCTCCGAGGGAGTAGAGCTCAGAGGCGATTAATGCGCACGTCGTTCGCGATGCTTCTGGCCGTTTCGCTCGGGACATCCTCGAAATTCTGAAAATCGGTGGCACCCCTCACGCAGATCGTGACGTCAGGGTCCAAAAACACATGGGAATTTCAACATTTTAACATAAAACCTTCAAAAACACATTGTAATTTCAATAATTTTGACCCCGATTCTCAGAGAATGGCGGTTTCGCCTGAGACATCCTCCCAAAATCGAGCCCCAGACCCCTCCTCGGAGCCTCCTGGGGGCCTCCTGGAACCTCCTGGGGCCTCCTGGGGCTTTCTGGACCTTCTGGTACCCCAGACCCCGCCTCGGAGCCTCCTGGAGTTCTCCTGGGCCTGCTGAGGCCGCCTGGGGCCTCCTGGGGCCTCCTGGGGCTTCAGAACTACATGCACACACAGAGACACAAATGACGCCCAACACATCACACGCTAGGCAAACATAACATACACACACACACAACACCGACAACACACAAAAAGCACGCACCACACAAAGCACACATCACACACATACACACACACACACAGACACACACACACACACAACACTCACAATCCTGGGGCCTCCTGGAGCTCTTCTGGTATCCAAGTCGGGCCTCCTGAGGCTTCCTGGGGGGGCCCTGGTACACACATCGCAAGGTGTGGCAACCCCACTTGCGCTCGAGTGCGACTTCGCTGTTGCATGTCACTCCTGCTTCAAACGTCCCTTCAGCTTGTTGTATGAGCCTGGGCACACACGTGCCACTTGTGTGTATATATATATACATATATGTGTAAACATTTACATCGTTTTTCGCTATCGAGCGGAAACCAGCAGGCCCTACGAGAACTTTGTACGGGGGGACTGGTTTACCATCTAAACAAGAACCCTGGGTCAAACCAACATGCTCCAGTTCCCGAGGCCACCGTGCCTCGCGACAGGCTGTGGACCCGCGCTCCCGCGCTCACGATGACCTTGGTGAGGCTCGGGCCCCCGTCCCGAACCCGCAAATTAATCAGCCAGCTCCCCAGTAGAGGAACGAATCATGACATAAACCTACAAACTCGGGGGTCTGGCGCCCCCTGGCGGCGCCTCAGGCGCCATCCCTGGCGCGCTCCGCGCGCCAGGGAGGGGGTCCAGCGCCGATAGTGCCGATCCGAGCAATCCGCGCGGACCTCCGAGTTTTTTATGTATGTCATTGTTCGTTCCCCTAAACAAACCAGCTCGCCACCAGCCCAGCCAGGTCCATCGCCACCCTGCCAAGCAGACAGCAAATCTGCCAATCAACCAGCCAGCCGCACCTTCCAGCGGGCCAACCTGCCGAGGCCAGCCTGGCGAGGTGCCAACCCTCCACCCAGTCGGCGAATCAACCAGCCAACCCAACCACGCAGGCAACCGAGAGGGGGCCAGGGCTGGCGGCGGTGAGCGAGGCACTTCAGACAAGGTGGCTTAGGAAGTTTCAGCTTTCAGAGCTTCGCCTTCTCTGATTCGGAGGCATCAAGTCAGAACGACTGGATTCGTCACTGCTTGTGGCACAGAGCCGAGCGCCATCGGATCTCCTGTACCCCTTCGCATGCAGCACTTGAGGACTGGGATCTACTTTAACGGACGTGGACTTCCGATGTCTGGGCGTTGTCTGGAGCTCTCGCGCACTAACGCGGGCATGTCACATTACTTTCCCCGAGGCTTCGGAACCATGGTTGAGAACCCCAACCTTCAAAATGCGCCACGACAGACTGAGGAACTCGCCTTGGGACCCTCTTGGGAGCTTCTTGGGCCGCATGTGTGGCCTGGGGTCGGCTAAATCGTCAGCATGCGTCTCACCTTTGTCGTCTCAAGAGCATCCTGGGCGGCCAAAAGGGCCCCAAATATCACCTCGAAACGGCCCCCGAGGCCGCCAACGAAGATCCGAGGCCCCAAACACGGGCCCAACACAGGGCACGAAAAAGAATCTGCGAACGCATCGTCATGGACTTGCTGCGGAATCCGCCCCGAAGACAGCGCAAATACCTCCAACAGGCCCACGGTGCCTCCAGAGGCTTCCAAGCGGGCCTACAGAGTCCGCAGAGAGGCCTTCAGAAGGCCCAGCACTGTGACGCAACGAAACGACGTGGGCCGAACAACGCCAAGAGATCTGGTGATCCAGGACAGCCCAGGCTGGCCAAGCGCCGTTTGCTCGAGTGCGTTCGCAGTGCAGGTTTCAAGCAAGCGCCCGAGCCTTGGGGGGGGGGGGGCATGCTGGCCCCAGGTCCGAGGCGGATCCAGCTGGGGCCACGGAAGGCGCCACGAGGCCCGAACGAGCCAAAACGAGGGCAGAAGGCATCAGCACAGTAGGGGCCACACAACGAGAAGGTTTCCGCAAGAAGCCCAACCCTGAGACCCCAAGATATTCATTGATGTTTGACGTGGGAACGTCGCGCTTTCCATCACAAACCATCGAAACCCAAGAAACCAAGAAACCCAGGGCACCCTGGAGGCAAGCAAGGTGTTTCTTGGCATGGGCCCCACGGTATCCGCATGCCCCCTCCTCCTGGGCAAGGCAGCGCATTCCTGCCAAAGCACGCGCGCGGGCAACGTCTTAAGTTGGCGACCAATATCAAATACGCCGTGTCCACTGAGTCCTGAAGGGCAACAAAACATGTTACCGCCACCATCAGGATCATGGGGCAGCCCCCACCGCGAGGGGCTGCCCCCCTCGTCATCGTCGTCCTCCTCTTCCTCCTCCTCCTGCTCCTCCTCCTCCTCCTCCTTCTCATCTTCTGCATCCTTCTCATCCTTCTTCTCCCCCTCCTCCTCCTCCTCCTCCGCCTTCCACAGGCTCCTCCTCCGCCACCTCTTATCCTCCTCCCCCTCGTCCCCCTCTTGTTGTTCTTATGTGGTGTACGTTCCTTATCATGAGAGTAAGTATTGTCATTATGCAGATTGTTATGACAGTGTTATCAATAGCAGTGCTATTGGTACGAATTTCAACCGTGTAGATATTATCATTATTAGTAGTAGTAGTAGTAGTAGTAGTAGCAGCAGCAGTAGTAGTAGTAGTAGTAGTAGTAGTGGTGGTAGTAGTCGTAGTAGTAGTAGTAGTAGGATCCGTCGTCGTCTTCTGGGTCTTAATATTCTGACTCTCAGTATCATCCGTATGCTTATCATGACGAGTAGTACCTCAGAATACGGGCCTCAGAACTAAATCCAATCAGAGCTTGCCTCTGTAGGGGTCCTGGCGGATTCATATGGTTAGAATAGGTTTGTCGCCGATTTTCGCTGCACGCCCCGGTGCCCGGGTGCCCGGGGGTGCCCGGGGCCCGGGTGCCCCGGGGGTGCCCAGGGGTGCCCGGGTGCCCGGGTGCCCGGGTGCCCGGGTGTGCCCGGGCGTGCCCGGGGGTGCCCTATAGCCCTATAGACCTAAGCCCTATAGCCCTATAGCCCTATAGCCAAATAGCCCTATAGCCCTACAACTGTATAGCCCTATTGCTCTATAGCCCTATAACTCAATAGCCCTATAGCCCTATAGCCCCGCAACCGTTTAGCCCTAAGTGGTTGTTTTGTCCCCCGTATCATCGTATTAGCAGTAGCAGTGGTAGTAGTCGTCGTGGTAGTAATAGTAATAGTAATCGTAATCGTAATCGCAATCGCAATCGTAATATTAAAAACAGTAGTAATAGTAATAGTAATAGTGATAGTAGTAGTAATAGTAATCGTAATAGTAATAGTAGTAATAATAATAGTAGTCGTAATAGTAATCGTAATCGTAGCCGTAATCGTAATCGTAATCGTAATCGAAATCGTAATAGTCATAGTCATAGTCATAGTCATAGTCAAAGAGATGATACTAGTAATAGTAATAGTAGCAGTAATAATAATAGCTAGCGTAATAATAATAGTAATAACAATAGTAGTAGCAATAGTGATAGAAATAGAAATACTATTAGTAATAGTGCTAGCAATAGCAATAACAATAGCAATAGCAATAGTACTAGTACGAATACTAGTACTAGTACTAGTAATGGTAATGGTAATGGTAATGCTAATAGTAATAATAGTAATAGTAATAGTAAAAATAATAGTAATAGTAATAGTAATAGTAATAGTAATAGTAATAGTAATAGTAATAGTAATAGTAATAGTAATAGTAATAGTAATAGTAATACGAATAGCAATAGTAGTAGAACAAGTAATAATACTAATAAATATAGTAATAGTAATAGTAATAGTAATAGTAATAGTAATAATACTAGTAATAGTTATAGTCATAGTAATAGTAATAGTAATAGTGATAGTAATAGTAATAGTAATAGTAATAATAATAGTAATAGCCATAGTCATAGTAATAGTAATGGATGTAGTAATAGTACTAGTAATAGTAATAGTACTAGTATTAGTAATAGTACTAGTAATAGTCATAGTAATAGTCACAGTAATAGTACTAGTAATAGTAATAGTAGTAGTATTAGCAATAGCAATAGCACTAGCAATAGTAATAGCAACTGTAACAGTACTAGTACTAGTACTGGTAATAGTAATAATAATATTAATAGGAATAGTCATAGTAATAATAATATTAATAGTAATCGTAGTAGTACTAGTAATAGTAATAATAACAGTAACAGTAACAGTAACAGTAACAGTAATAGTAACAGTAATGGTAATAGTAACAGTAATAATGATAGTAATACTTATAGTAATGATTGTAGTAATAGTACTGGTACTGGTACTAGTACTAGTAATAGTAATAGTAATAATAATAGTGATAGTGAAAGTAAGAGTAAGAGTAAGAGCAGTAGTAGTAGTAGGTGGTGGTGGTGGGTGTGGTCGTAGTCGCAGTAGTGAAAGTAGTAGCGGTAGTAGTCGCAATAGTCGCAGCAATAGTAACAGTAGCAGGGATAGTGGTAGTACTAGTAGTAGTTGTTGTTGCCGTAGACATAATATCATTGTTGGTATCACCAATACGAGCATTACCAGTAGTAGCGTCATTACTAGTACGTACGAGTATTAGTAGGAATACTACGTATTGAAAGGTTAAATTGGTTAGTGCCAGTCGCTGTCGTAATATTAAGAGTAGCCTTGGTTTACTAGCAGTACTATCACGCGTGCGCCTAGTCTGATTGATAGTCTTCGTAAAAAGTAGTGTCCGTCGTATTCGTTGTAGTGCTGTTGTGCTTCGCATTCGCAACGAACTTTTTTGAGTCTGAATATTCGTCTGCCTCTTACTTAAAATATTCGTATTAGTACGATGTGTCGTATGCGTCGTATTAGTTTTAGTATAGTTCGTCCTCGTCCTCCTCCTCCGCCTCCTCCTCGCCCTCCTCCTCATAGTCCTCCTCCTCATCCTCCTCCTCATCATCCTCCCCCTCCCCCCCTCCTCCTCCTCCTCCTCCTCCTCCTCCTCCTCCTCCTCCTCCTCCTCCTCCTCCTCCTCCTCCTCCTCCTCCTCCATCTCCTCCTGCTCCTCCTCCTCCTGCTCCTCCTCATCCTCCTGCTCCTGCTCTTCCTCCTCCTCCTCCTCCTCCTCCTACTCCTCCTCCTCCTAGAGGGTTTCGCTGCGAGGCCCCCACGCAGCCGTTGCCCACAGCGCGTGCGGGCGGGTTTGCGCCATCAGGGCCCCCAATGCCGAGGGCGCGAGGCGGCGAGGAGGCGGCTCCGCCTGGAGCGCTTCAGGCAGCTGCTCGACCTGCACCACGACGGGCGGCAGCACGTCAGGAGGCGGCGGCGGCAAGAGCACCGCAGCTCATCACAGCCCCCTTGGACTCGCTGAAGCTGCAGGGCGCGGACTCCATCAGGAAGCAGATCCAAGGGGCGGCCAATGCGCTGCCAGCCGTGGCTCCACCACAGCCCGTGCGGCCCAGGGCAGAGAAGGTGGCGGCTGCGGCACGCTCGCTGCAGACGGCACGGAGGCAGTACCAGACGGCTTTCGCGACGAAGCAGCTCGCGGAGGGGGAGGCGAGGAAGGCAAGGGCCGTGCTGGAGGAGCGCGCGGGGGCACTGCTGCAGGCAGACGCGGGGGTGCGAGGCCATCCACGCCCGAGGGCCGCAGCGCACCCACGGTGGACATCCTCATGCTAGACATCCGCCTGGGTTCCGTAGCCATTATGGTTCAAGTCCGTAGCGTGTTTGCTCAGGAACTGACCTTACTGGCAAGGGGGATTTGCGGCCCGCGTCTTCGCTCCTGTTCTGCCTGGTCAGACGAGGTACCCTTTCGATTTTGGAGCCCCTGTCGGAGCACTTCGTCTCCCACTAGGCTGCGCGCTGGTGGAGACAACCCGCAACCATCACCGAGCCGGCGTTTCCAGGTGCCCAGTGGGCCGCAGGGAAAGGTGTCAATGGGTGGAACGGCTTCCAGCTTCAGAGTCCTGGTGGAGGCACGCGTGCATCCTCGCCCTTCGCCCGAGTTCCACTTCCACCAGGACAGCTCTACGGCGGTTTCGGACAAGGAGGTCATGGTCCCCACTTTTTCCCTCGCCATGGGCGCTGGGCTTGCACCCAATGCCGGTGCAGGAAAAAGTCGGCCAGCATTACCACGCGTCGCCACTGTGGAGCCCCGCGTGCTTATCCTGGGCAGCAGGTTCGTCCCCCGCAAGGGGCATGGACAAACCCTCAGGCTCTGCAGGGCGCTGGTGGTGTGCATCGCCCTGCTCTTCCTGGTCTCCAGCTGCCTGGGCAGGTCGCGCAGGTCGATATCAAGGACCTGGAAGAGTCTGGAATCGAGTCCCTCATCAGTATGTGCAAGAGGTCGGGAAGCACAAAGTCCGCCGACAGCTACCGGAGGGCCCTCGCCAACAAGAGGGCCGCTAACAAGCAGCAGACAGACAGCAGCAGGTCAACAAGGCGTTCAACTCATTGCGGGCCTCAGAAGACAGTCTGGCAAAGGCTGCCACGAGGTTCCAGGCGACGCAGGTGGCGATTGAGGCGCAATGTGCCAGAGCTGGGCGCCTACAGTCTGAATGTCAGCAAGCCGAGGATCTTCATAAGCAGTTGGTCAATCAGCTCCATGCACAGGTTAAGTCTTCAGATGACCCAAGCCCTGCCAAAGTTTCTCCGCGGTCAGTTCGGTCCATTCTCACTGGCACCATCTACGAAATCCCCATCACATTGGAAGACCTTCTCGACGAAGCTGAGGAGGGTGGCATCGCTCTATATACCAAGGAGAAGGAGCAGGCAGACAAGCTCGTCACAGAGCTCAAGAAGAGCCTCCAGGAGGCCACCTCCACACTGTTCAAGCAGGCTCTCGAGGCGACGGCAAGGCCGAGGAGGAGCACAAGACGCTCCTCAGCAGGTTGCAGACCAAGCGGAGGCGCACTGCGGGTGGCGCAGAGGGCAAGGAGAATGCCGAGCCACACCCACGGGCCCCCGACCCTGCCCCTGTCAGTTCCAAGGGAGCCCTAGGCGCGCCTGAGCCAGCGGCTGCAGCGGCGGCTCGCTCATCGGTGCGAGAACGGGCTGCGGAGATCGCTGGAGGCGGTCCAGCAGCTCCCGCACCTGCCGCCCGCAACTTTAGCATCTTTTCAAGCAGGGTAGGGAAGGCCGTGGGTCAGGCTTCGGGGAGCTTCTGGAGGGCTTTTGTTCCGTGACTGCGCGTGCAAACGCCATCATGAACCCTCCTGGTCTCCGAGGCTCCCGCACAGGCCCC